CAAAAATTTGTTAAACCCGATGTCGCTCTGCTCATCCAAAGCCAGAACAGCACATACCTCGATCTCACAGTGAAGTAAAAAGCCGGGCAATTCTGTGCTGAGGATCGACGAAGAGCCAGCAGTTATAGAAGAATATCGCAAGACACGTGCGCTGAGAACATTCTCGCCCTTCACCAGATATGGCAGAATGTCCACCGTTTCAAAGTGCCATCGCTCCATGTAACTCTTGCATGGACCGAAGCTCACCCGCTGGCCATTGACGAAGAGCCTATAGCGACTGTCTGCCGATACATGCACGGGAATCTCCTTGATATCATCTGTGCCCGGCCAATTGAATCTTTTGCGGAAGAGAAAGTATCGCCCTGGCTGGTTGTCTTCTTCGTGGTAGCCAGGTGCCCAGATCCATTGGGCCGATTGCGTCCAGTTGGGTGCCATAGTGAATGATTGCTGTCCAGAAGGAACTTGGAGAGCAAAACTTTTTTTTGACATGAGGGGTACTGCTAATCGTCTATCTCCGGTCTTTCTCCCCGCACTGGTGCGCGATGTTCAAAAGTCGGGCCTTCCGGGGTAGAAATGTGGAGAGCCGCAGCCGACGCTCGGATATCCCGCTCGGTAGATTTTGCCCCGAGATATTAAGAGCCGAGAGAGCCCGGGTGCAAAATTCATGAGACCGCTAAATCTAGCCCACTTAACTTTAGTCTAGGCTACAGCTAAATGATACTGTAAAGAAAAGAATAGAGAATTGGATATTAACTCAAATTGCATTTGGGACCGTTTCCGTTATTTCCAAACCCGCAGACCAAAAGCCAACCAACCAACCCCAATCAAAAAACTCCTGTACAAGATGGTATCAAATTTGAACCCACAGCCCCCTCCAGAAAAAGAAAGAAAAAAAAATGAAACTGTGCCCCAGATAGTACAAATAAGAAAGGCAGTTCGGAAAAAAGGATAGTAGGGAAAGGGCAAGGGGATTAAAAAAAACCAAAAGGCAAAATTTTGCAAAACGCCAGCCTGTTAAAAAGTCTCCGCGATGCCTGGCCCCTGTACATTCCCCCCCAAAAAAAGAGTCAAAACAAAAAGAGGTAATAAGACCTGAAGGAGCGAAACGGTCGTGTTGCAACAAGTAACCAATGCCATGCGAATTCCGGTCAGATATGTTTTCCGTAAGTCAAATAGAATCAAATTTCCATTCATCAAGGTGTAAATCGAGTCAAGGGGATTCATGCTGCCGTCACTCAAGATCAATTCCCCATCCCATTGTGCATCATGCTTTGCTGCATCTGCTGTTGCATAGCCGCCTGGGAGTTTCGCTGCTGCTGCGTAGCTTCTCGTTCGCGTCGCATGAGGTCCTGAACCCACGACTTGGCGGTCTTTTCCAGCCCAGCCCCGTATTGCTGGGCAATGTGGGGTGGATATTGGGTAGGTGGGCCATATTGGGTCATGAATCTTTGGGACATCTCGTGCCGCAGGTGTAGTAACCGTTGCTGATACAGTCGGTTGTATCGCTGAGCCATATTGTTGGCACCTTGCATGTTCGGAATTTGCCCTCCATTGGCCTGCGCGGCTGCCATCAACATTTGCTGTTGCTGCGGCGTCATTTGTGGACTGCCTTGATGCTGGTTCTGTTGACCCTGAGACATTTGGCCTTGGGACATCTGTGCCTGCATCTGTGGTGCCTGTTGCATTTGACCCTGGGACATCTGTCCCTGTGGCATTCCACCCTGCTGCTGCTTGACCATCTGCATCTGAGCAAATTGGGCTCGCATGAGTTGCGCCTGGTATGCCTGTTGGTTCTGCATGTTCGGCATGTTTTGCTGTTGTTGCGGGAGTTGCTGTTGCTGCTGCTGATGTTGGGCTTGTTGCTGCTGCTGCTGCTGCTTCTGCTGGGCCTGTAACATCTGCTGCTGTGAATGTATGTTTTGCTGGGCATGTGCGCTGGCCTGCATTTGGGCAAGCTGCTGCGGTGTAAATTGACCATTTATTTGTCCCTGTTGAGCAGCGAGCATCTGCTGTTGTCGCTGTTGCAGCAGCATCTGTTGTTGCGGGGTGAGTCCAATAGTACCACTCATCTGCGGGGTATTCGCCATGGTAGCCTGGCTCATCATTGGAGTTTGTTGTGGCATTGTATGAGTAGGGCTGCCGTGGTTCATTCGCTGAGTTGGTGTAACGTTGCGCATGATTGGCGTGGCATGTGCCATCGCTGGCGTACCCTGGGTCATCTGAGGCGTACCGTGTCGACTTGCTCCCTGTTGGCTCCGGGAAGGTGCCATAGGGTGGCCCATGACATTCGGGTGGCCGTGCTGCATGGAAGACGGGGGGCGCGGTGGGCTTCCCGATTGCTGAGATGCGCTGACGCTCATGGGGACAGCCTGTGTTGCCATATTGTTACCAACCAATGGTGACGACGTGTTATGAGGAGTTTGATTGCGTACAACTGGCGAGGACTGTTGTCCTTGGCTCACGCCGTTAGGCTGAGCCATGGCGTGTCGGTTCTGAGCGGCAAGTTGGGCTTGGGCTTGTTGAGCTGCGAGTTGCTGTCTTCGCGCTTCCTCCTTTGCATGTTCCTCATGCTGGCGTTGCTCAAGGACCTTTCGGCGTTCCCTCTCCTGCTCCTGCTGCTGCCTCTTGGCCAGCTCCTGCTTCAACTTCATCTCGTGCTCACGCTTGGCCTTCTCCTCATGTTGCATCCGGATTGTTTCCAGGGTCTTGAAGCGCGAGAATCGAGGCTCGAACGGTGCCACACCCGCCGCATCATCCACAACAGTCGCCTTGGAGCCACCGCCAGCCCCCGAGGCTGTTGGTTCGAGTCGCTCATCCATGATAAGCATGAACCTCTCTTCTTCGGCAGCGAGTGCTTCGTCGGCAGCGAGCTCGGCAACAGTTCTCTTACGGCGCTTGGGCGACGGTGGTGGGTTGGAGTGAAGCGGGCTCTCCATAGCTTTGAGCAGGTCTTGTGAGGCCGCGAAGCTGTCTACGGGCTCCAAGTAAAGTGGAGGTGCCAATGCCCGCACAATAAGTGCCTCGCATTGCGGAAGATCTTGGGGTTCAACAAGGGTCTTCTGCCGTTTTGCATCATGGCCACGATCGGTTTGTGTGGCTGCTGGTGACTGCGGGACGACGGAGGATGATTGAGTACGTGACAATTGGTTCTGAGCCCCTGCCTTGGCGGCTTTCGGATCAGGGGTTGTCACGAGCAAAGTCAGCTCTGCTTGCAGCGTACGCGATGTGGGGTGCAAAACAGTAGTGAACACTTTAGGCTTTAGCGCAGCAGCTTTCTGTTCGACTTTATTGCTTTTAGCCTGAGCTTCCGAGGTCTCTCCGTTAGTTTGGCTTTCGGACTGGGACGGTGTCTCTGGCGCCTTTGAGCTTTGTAGATCGGTGGTGAGTTGGTTCTGTTTCGGGTAAGGGACAAAGGCAGATGGAGTAACATGCTCATTGTAGTTGTGGAGTGAGAATGGTGTATTGTTTTCGTTGGTGTTTGATGTAGACGTCTTGTGCGCTTGTGCCGACATAGACTTATGATCAACCACTCGAACAATGAGGCAGCCTATACGATCAGCATGTCATTCCCGCAACCAATTGATCAAAAAGGCGGATCCTACCTTCATAAAAGCGCACGCCCGAACGTAAAAGCTCCTCGATTAGATCATGGGGAACAGTCCCGGCGCGGATATGCTCGATAATGACTTTCATCTCCGAATTGTATGGAAAACTTCCGTCTTGCTGTTCGAATCGAAAATGTGTTGGATGAAGATGTACAATGAGAGATGGCGGTGATTTGGAGTATTTCTTAAGAATGTAGGACGTGGTTTTCACTGAGGCGCAAACAATCGGTAAGGTTAGTATGTCCAGTTTGTGCATAGGCATGGGGGGGGCAAGGGCGAGGTATTTCTCACCAAATGGTTCAGAATGGCTTTTCCCAACCCCATTTTCGTTGCCATTGGTGCTTGTTCTTGTCACCGGTCGACCAAAACGCGAGGAAGGGTCACCCGGTCTTTGCGACTGGTTGCGAGTTCGGTTAAGAGTGCCTTTTGCGATATTCGCCCCATTCACCACGCCATTGGTAAGGTTGGGACTTGATGTAACGGAGCTGCTTCCCGGAAGACGAGTAGTTGTTGTGGGTGAAGAGGATGACGGTTGTTGGGCCTTGAGTCCGTTGGCTCCGACCTGGGGGAAAGGCGGGGGCGGCCGCTTCATCTTCGGGGATGTGAACCGGGTTTTGAGACCGCAGTGGCCATTTTGGCGGGGCTAGCTGCGCTGCCGGAGTGATTTCAGCGGTTGAGTATGCTCTTTATTGGTAAACCGATTTGACGATGCTGGATGAAAGCCGGGGACCGAGAAAGAATGGGATAGCTGATGCGCGAGACATGTGGGGATCGGTCGGTCGGCCCTGGTCACCAACGCAGCAAAGTCGAAGGAGAATAAGTGTAGCCAGCAGTCCAAGACGCCTAGGAAAAGAGAGTGAGAGCGGCCATCCAACGATGTCGCGAGGGAGTCGGGGTCCGAAGAAGCGCTGGAGGGGAGTCGTGCAACGGAGGTCGAGTGATGCCAAGCCGCCCGAGACGTGAGTGACGACGACACGTGACCCTCCTGATGTCCCATTATCAAAAAGGGTGGTCCAATTAGTACTATTCACCGAAAGCGGACTAGTTGATTGATTGGCAATTCCTATACAATCAATGTAAAGAGTATGGTAGCAGGACACAATTACCATTCACTTGATAGGGGGTTCTTTCTCTCTTGATGAGAAGACTACCCTGAGTATTATGTGTTGTGGCTATCTCTTAGACAGTTCATTCATTATATGAGCTATGGAATGGTCAATCGACAACAAAGCCGATGGAATAGAGCGGATTATAATCAAATCGCGCGTAGCAGGAACAGGGATCATGATAACAGGGGAATCGAAGGCGCAAAATCGTCAAGAAGAGGCAAAATATAGACATGCAAGAATGGCAAATATCAACATCAACGTCGTTTGGAAGGCTCGGACAAACACACTAGTCCAAGCCGCTGACCCGGCGTCGCCAGTCGTCACCAACACGAAGAACATCAACGACATCAATGCGCTTTCCAATGCCAGTTGTGCCGTCCTTTTGCCACCAGCGCTCTCCCTTATCGGCAAGAGCGGACTCGTCATCACTGTCGATGAGTCCGCCTCGGCCACCCTCATCACCAACGACAACAACGACCTGTCGAACCCATCCGGAAATGTGCTGGACAGCCTCGCCCTCGCCTTCATTGCCAGTGAGAGACTCCTGGACATACACGAGATCGGGGGCAAGGTGGCGCACAAGGTGCACATAACCGGTTGCCGTGCTGAAAGGCATGATCATGTTCTCCTTTTCAACCAGTGCTTGAGCCTGAGTGTACAGGGTCTTGAAGAAGGGGCTGTGACTCTCAAGGTCGTCATCTTGGCGAGGCTCAAGGGCCTGGAGGTCCTTGCTTGGCAATTCACCAGATGAGTTCGCCTCTTCCGTGGCAATGTTCGAATAAGACGACGCGATAGATTGGGTGGCACGCGATGAGCTGCCTTGGCCAATCGCATGCTTCACTTCAGGGGCGTAGATCAGAACAAAGATTCGAGAGGTATCTAGATCAACATGTTCTGGCAGATGGGATAAGATAGACTGGAGTTGTCAGTCAAAGTACGATCATAGACTTAGTAGGAACTAGGAGTTAGGAGGGGTGGTGCTTACAGCGTGCTCCGAGGCAAACTCATCAGAATCGGCAGGGGAGAGATGATACGACAATGACAACCGTCTTTTTCTTCTTGTCGATGGGGTGCTGGCCAGAGACAGGTCCACGATTTGGCAGCGCACCACTCATAGTTGGGGTTTGCTGACCACCAATGGCGCGAGACTGAGCCTCTTCGGACCACCGCGAGTGATCTTCAAAGTCGCCACGGTTTTCCTCGCGGATGGACGTGAGCGCATTTCCAACGAAAGCACCGGCAGCTGTCACGCCAGCCGCGACTTTTCGGCTTGCGCCGTCAAAGATCTGCTGGGGGCTTGGAGTTCGGCGCAAAGCACCCTGCATGCGACCCATGAAGGTGGGATCATATGGAGTATCTCCAGGGCCTCCGTCCACGCCTGCACTTCTAGCATAGCCCTCCGAGGCATAGGATGGAGGAGGGAAGTCGCCGCCGATGGGACCGGGGGTGGTGGTGGGTAGGGGCCTTGTCCGTCGTGGGGGCGGCGGTCGTCCTCCTCATCGTCGTCTTCGTCTCGTTCACTCCATATCCAGGCGGCAACGCTCAATGTCGCGACACCAACGGTAAGCGCGAGAGGGATCCAGTAGCCCATGGCAGTTCGGCGGCCCGTCGCGCTGAACCCAGCACCAGCACCACCACGACGGCGGCGAGGATCCTGGGGGAAAGACATTGTGGTGAGGGGGAGGGGTGTTGATATTAAAGATAGCGCATGCAGAAGTGATCAATCGCGGTCGCAGATGGGATCGCCTGTCACATTTCACTTCTCATGCAAAGAAGAAAGGGAAGGTGGAGGTGGAGAGGGGGAAAGGGAAAGCTGAACCTCAGGTCGACCTCGGCGTGGCTGGGGAAGTGGTTGGTTACCGCGGTGTTTACCTTGTTGTTTACACTGTTTGTCTCTTGGACTATGGTGGAGGCGGGTCATATCGGCACGTGACTCGAAAAAAGCGGCGGGTTGCGATTGGAGTCATCGGGGCTCTTTGTCCATTTCGCATAGCAACTGTCTGAGAAGAGTCCGTTCAGCTATTCAGCTACGGTATCGCTGTTCAATTCATTCCAGGAAGCTTCCTGAAAGCTTCTTTTACATCAGTCATCCCCTCTACGCATTATCGAAGGGATTTTCGGAGAAACATCCCCACCCCACTACCATCACCTCCTCGCGGGGCTCATACAATCTATACTCAAACAAGTCTTGATCTCTTCGAGAGTCTCTGTTGGACTTATACTCAAAATGCCTGTTCCCGCCTTGGGCTTCCAGGCCCTCGTCCTGGTGCGCTATTCCCATATTTTCCTTCTCAATTCGGTTGACTTTGGAGGCATTTGCGGACTAACATCGAATAGTGTGGACCTGGTGTTTCGCTCACGCTCGCTTCCAAGCCAGAAGAACTACCAAAGGCTCTCATTAATGTCGCCAATCGCCCCCTAGTATTCTATGTTTTGGATTGGTGAGCTTCGTTCTCCTAACTTTGCTTTCCAAGGCATATTGCTAACTGGGACTATCAGGCTGAAGAGATCTGGTGTCTCCGGTGCGCATCATCGATCGAGTCACTAACTGGCTATTCGAACCTGGACCTAACAACTTCAATAGATATCACCTTGATCACACCTCCCTCCGCCGCTCCTCCCCTCCAAGCTGCCCTCAAACAAAACCAATACCTAACTTCCCTCCCCTCGCCAACCCCAACGGTCCTCGCTCCCAAGGATCTAGAATTGGTCACCGGTACCGCCGAGCTGCTCCGTCTCCCTGAAGTTCAAAGCTGCATTAAAACCGACTTCCTCCTCCTTCCCTGCGATCTGATCTGCGAAATTCCCGGCGAAGCCCTACTCGAATCATGGATGGTATCACAGAGTGCACTCGGTGGTTCTTCTACACGAGAAGGACGCCATGCTGATGGCCCTGTTTCCGGCCCTGGGGTGAGCAAGGAGGTCGTCGTGGTGGATTGGCGGTCTATTATCCAACACAGGGTAGAGAGGAGAGTGTCAAGGGCGAAGCCACTGATTTTGTGGCCGTCTCTCCGCTTGGTACGGATGATGCGCCGGCTGTCAATGGACCTCGAATCCAGCTTGATCAGCTTGTCATGTCTATGCCGATGGATACCGTGAAGGAGAAGATGGAAAATGACAAAGGCTTCCTGGTCCGCCATTCACTCGTGGAGAAGCATGCCCAGGTCAAGATGCTTTCGACCTATCGGGATGCTCACCTGTACGTTTTCCCTTACTGGGTCAAGGATCTTGCACGCCATCAAGAAAAGTTCCAGTCCGTCAGTGAGGATCTGATCGGCTACTGGGCCAAGGCTGAATGGCAGCGAGGACTGGCGGAAAAGATCGGAATTAACAAAGTCCTGGCTCCCAAGGCCGATAATGCGGAGGAAAATGGAAGCAACGACGGTGAATCTCTAGAGGAAGAGATTGATCTCCAAGCCATGAGCACTACCAAGAGTGGTTCAACTGTGACTCCCCCTCTTGCTCAGCATGAGCTTCCGTCGCCCACTTTCGCCTCGCGGGTGAAGGCCCCGTCTAATAACGATACTGAAGAAGAGAGCAAGATCCCACCAATTCTCGCCTACGTGCAAAAGGGCTCCGCACCTTTTGTCCGCCGTGTTGACAGCTCCGCAATCCTGCTGTCTACCTCTCTTCGTCTTGCCAAGTTACCTTCCATCGACGAGGTTGGCCGTCACGCCGCCTCCCCTCTCGCACATAGCAAGAAGATCGCCTATCCGGAGGGTGTGCCTAAGCGTTGCACTGTCACGGAGTCCGACTGTCTGCTCGATATCAACGTAACGATTGAAGAGTTCGCCGTCATTAAGGAGTGCTGCATTGGCGAGGGTGCCAAGATCTGTAAGGGCGCACGCTTGTCCAAATGTGTGATTCTGCCTTATGCCGTTGTGGGTGAGAAGGCCGTTGTGACGGGCACCATTGTGGGCCGACACAGCAAGATCGGTCGGGATAGTGTCCTCAAGGACTGCGAGGTTGATAACGGCTTCGTGGTTCCGGATGATACTGATGCGAAGGCTGAGAAGTTCATGCACTTTGGTGGTCTGGATGATGAGGAGGATGGCATGGATGTTTCTGGGGACTTTGATGATAACAGGTCCGACCTGGGCTTTTAGTCGAGGTTGGATACATTTGAAATGAACCTTTTTTTTTGTTTGTTTATTATACCGCCATGTGTGATGAGATAGACCAATGATCAAAATTCATGGCTGCAAGCAGCTACCATTTAACTCTGGTTTATTAAGCACGTAGTACTAGTTCTCGTAGGTTTTACTTTTACCGTGTCCCAAGATTACGAAGGCATTGCCCTACACGTCCTCCCCAGGTGCCAGTGAGTATACTATACTCCAGTACTAGTTACTAGTAGTACTAATACTTACCTAAAACTACGACGGTACGTAGCAGAGCCACCTCATCAAACGTCCAAGTCCGATCCAGCCCTGAAGTCACTATCCGACCCTGGTCTCCATTGTTGGGGCACAGATAGTCTCGATGGCAATTCAGCTCACGGCCCGAGTACAGCATTGCCAGATCATGGCGTCTATCGACGGGATCAGCAACACGGCCACTGACAGATTGTATACGGTCCACAGTTCGCTCGAGGCAATGGGGCGTGCGTTGAAGTGACACAGCGCATGTATATGTACTATAGTTGCTGCCACAGGATTGACCGAACATTCGACGCTCACCGGACTACTAGAGGAGCTAGTCAAATACTTATGTGATAGTACTAGAAGGGAAGATTCCCAACTTGGGGGAATCTTCCAAGCTTGGGTTCTTTATGTGACGCTATATTTAGTATTGATGGGCATTCGTGCTCGACTGCTGGTATATTGACACGGGACACGCAAGTTGATAGATAAAATTACTCGAAAAACCAAAAAATTAAGATTCTTAATTGACTCAAATCCATCAGGAATACGAACCGAGAATAGAGTTCACCATTGCTGACTGAAAATTGCCATTTTCCAGGTTGCAGTCGGTACCAAGTTACAATCCGGGACTGGGCTATAGCATAACATATAATAGCACTAGCATAGCACATACCCAGGAAGACCCATCAACTGATCCAATTGATCGAGTGGTACAAGATCTAAAAGTCTGTGGTGTCACCCGTGGACTACAGCTTCAAAGATGGCCTAATCAGATATAGTTCATGGCTAAGTACTCCGTCCTCCAAACATCAACCACTAACCTCACTAGCAGACCCCGCTTCGGTCGAGTCCCGGGAGCGAGAAGTGATTGTCGTTACTCGTCCAGGGCTAACGGTGTCGATCCTGGGACCCGCTCCACTGGTGATTTGACAGCTATGCGGGATACGGAGGAATTGCGCGTCTGTACTTGTAGCTTGGACTTTTGTCGTTTGGACGAGTATTTTGTCTCTTTGGGCCATTTGCTTGATTTTTTGTGGGGGTGTACTTTATTTTGGTTTTCCACATTTTCTTTAGTGGTGGGGTTGTGTGTGTGTGTTAGTGAGGGTGCGTGTCGTATGATAATCCGGCGACTCGGGTAGTTTAACTCATAATAGAAGGTTGTTAGGATAAAAGGGAGGAGAGGAGATGTTGTTGAATGGGGGTGAGGTGAAGACCTCGGTTTACTTTGACGGCGGCTTTGTAGAAAAGTGCGAGTAAAATGACAAAAAGGACTGGGGTATACTTGAAGAAAACAGCAGACCAACCCCAATTGGAGGATCGAGATAAAACTAGGGTTCAACTACGAATGGGGGTTTCATCAAAACCAAACCGGCCTCATTTCTCTAGACAGCCCTGGGGATGTCTAATCTGGGGCGCTAGGGATTGGCGAAACCTGCTGGGATAAGATATTCACAGGCATCGCATTAATCAGTCATCGAGTCCGTGACTCGCGTAACAGTGTGTGCACGGCCTCACGAGTCACGACCATCCAACGGCGCGATCCTCACAAAGCCCAAGCCCAAGCCCAAACCCAAGCCAAATCCACCCCCTCCACCTTTCCCCGGACCGGGATTTACAAGTGGATATTATATTGGACTCGCTTGCCCAGCTGAGAATGAAAGCCGCCTGGCTGATTCACTGTCGTAATTTCCTTGGCCGCGGATCTCATCTCCACGAGATTGCACAGGTACTCTAGTGTCCAAGGCACTGGGCAAGTGGGCTCCGCATTGAGCAGCATGCATTGCAATGATGGCGCGATGCCGCAAGAGGCAATTAAAAGCGGATACACGGGTTGAGGGAGCAATTCAAGCAAAGCCCGGGAGGGGATAGGGAGGATGAGATGGGATGAGATGGGATGAGATGGGGTGGGATGGGATGGGATGAGGTGAAATAAGGTACGGAGTAAAAGGATAACTCATTCGCAAGGCAATCCAACGGGTTGAACACGAGGTTGGCGCATTCCGCGCCGACCTGTCGATCAATCTCCCGTACCTACAGAACGTAAGCAAGGCCTGCAGCAGGATGCTGTCAAAGCGAGGAGGACTATGTACATACATACATACATACATACATACTCCGTACATACGTACGCACTACTCCGTCGAGCAAGGAACAAGAAGAAAATCTAGGAAATCCGAGTCAATCCTGCAAGTTGCACGTACGGGGCAGAAATGGGAGGATTCCTCGTATGGATTGTGGATTGTGGATTATGGATTATTGCGGACCCAAGATGAATTGAATGATTTGCGGGCTCTGACGCCCCTCCGCGACCCTCAATTCCATCTATAGGAAGCGCTAAATCCCTCGGCAGAGACGAAAGACAAAGATCGCATCCCGCATCGGAGAGGCCAAAGAGCTAATGCGGCGAGTGAGCCGAACTGTGGATATGCGAGGTAGAACGGTGAACCAGTCAGGGATGGAATGGGATGGATGGGAGGGATAATAGGGCCCCCTCATGTTTCCGATTGCATCTCGCGACCGCGATCCGATTTTTTTGGCCCCAACAGAGAAAGATTTGTATGTGATGTTTGTCCCACTTCAAAAGGATGGGATGGGCTGGGGGGGGGGGGCAATGTCGATCACGCGGGAAGTGTTATTGGTGTGGTGGTGGATCGCCGTGGTTTGCAGCAGTGGAGACTCAAAAGAGGGGGCGCGGAGATAATTTAGATGCGATAAGGAGTTACAATTTTGGTTGTTCGGTAGAAGAAGAAAAGAGAGAACACGAAAACGAATGGCCCCGCTTGTGTGGATTAGGGATAGTTGTCGATATACAAGTAGCTACGGTAGCTCGGAGCTCGGGAGCCCGGAGATAGTTAGCTAGTACTACGATACGATGTAGCTGTGCAGTCCGATCAATAGATCTGGGTCATCTTGTTTGACACCAAGACATTTGGAGATGAAACGTGCGCAACTAAAATATAAAGAGCGGAAATCGAAAAGCGGATCAGCTGAAATGAAACCGTGTGGAGAGCATCAAGCTCGGGTCCGTCCCGACATGATAAGACGAGGCGTCGGTGGCACGAACTGCTCGGTCAGCCCACGGTTGACAATCACGTCAGTTCTGCATGAGCTAAATCTAGGAGGGATGGTAATGGTATCATTATACATGAGGGAATCGTCGTTCTCATTCTTGTGATGTATCTTCCCATCGGATCCGATCGAAGCCAACGGAATCCTCGAGTCCCGCCGGGTTGCAAATTGCCTCGACCTCGCACAGCACGGGGAGATGCCTTCAGCCTCATCCCCAATCTCCTTAAGGGTGCATGCAGGTAAGGGAGGATGACGGAGTCAATTCTGGGGGTTAGCTGTGTAGAGCTGGCAAGCTGGCAAGCTGGCAAGCAGCAAAGCAGTTTCACCCGACGGGTAGCTGGGTTGCAGTGGCAGCGTTCCATGGAAAGGCCTACCAAACAGTGGAAAATGGGAAATGAAGTGGGAGCAAGTGGGAATTGGGGGATCTGCCGGTTATCAACATCAACTTTCCACTCCACTGGGATAAGAGAATCACAGGGAGTATGCTATACTCATAGTACTCGTATTGGTATACGATAATCGCAATCAATATGAATACTCCGTAGAAAGATTGATCCTTGGGCAATCTAATTGTGTGGGCAACATTCCAGCGATCGCACGTGCGGTGCACGGAGCCGCCTGATGTTTCGCCGAACGCTTGTGGATTCGCGGTTGGCCGTGGAGAAAAACGCCGTCAAGGATAGCGTTGCAGTTAGCGTTAGTGCAGTCGCCAATCGCGGGACACTGGGGAGTAGGCTGTAAATTAATGGGACAATGGGATACTCGTAATGGCAGTACTAGTACGGAGTACATGTAGATGCAGATATACACCAGAAGGGTGTACTGTGGTTGTAGAGTGGCCGTGGTAGTAGTGATATAGTAGTCGAACATCCCAACCAAAATCGAGGCAACAGCTGATTATGTGCAGGAACCAGCGTACTCGTACCTCCGGTGAGAGTGGAAGGTGGGACTTTTTGACAGAAGGCTATGCTGCTATGCTGGTAGTGGTGGTGGTGGTGGTTAGTGTGGAGGAGTTGATTGGCATTAGGTGGACCCAAAGGTTTAAGGGGGCATGCGAATACATCCGAGAAAGAACAGCAGAGCACCAGAGCACTGAGAACAGGAGAAAATAAGGATTGAAGGGTAATGTTCGATTCTACAGAGTCTGGTGTTATTTATCATATTTATCTCTCTTTTTTTCTGTATCCCTAAAACCCTAACGTGGGGAAATACCCTAATCCTCCCCTAGTAATACTCCCTACTCCCTACTACGAGACTACTCCCTACTACCACCACCACCACCACCACTCACCTCAACTTCTCCTCTTCCTCTCCTCCACTCTTCTTCCCATCTCTCCCCCTTCCCCCCAGTCCAGACGAACGGCTTCTTTCTGGCCCTTCCAAGGATCTGGTTTTATTCTTCGGGGCCTTCGTTTTTTCTTTTCCCAATTTCTTTTCTTTCTTGTACATCTCCCCCCCGAACCACTTTCTCTCTCCCCTTTACCCCAGGGTCTCCGGTCTCTCCCCCTCTCCACCACCACCAAATCTGACCACCTTTCGTTTCTTCCAACTCGCCTGGTTTCGAGTCTACTGCATTTTATTCGCATTCAGCGTCTCTCTTTCTCTCTTCCCCATCTCCTTTTTTTTAATTGTTGTACAACATATTTTATGTTCACGCTACTTAGAGAACAGGT